GAACTATCTCTATAGAGAATGGATAGGTTTTATATAGAGAAATAATTCTTGGATCCAATTTTCTATAGAAGTCTATAAAAACTCATAAATGTCTATAGACTTTCTATAGAATTCTATAAAACATTTTACTACGGGATATTTAGGCATGTCACATGTTTTTTGATAATATAATTTGATAGTCTGTACAGGGCTTTATAGAATACTGTAAATCATGATCAAACGAGATATTATAGCTAAGATGTTGGAATCCCCAGAGTATGCTAAGCAAAGCTTGAGTACACATCTCAGATTCTTAAGTTAACTAAGATTAAATAAACAAGAACAGAGAAAATATCAATGTTAATATGCTTATGCTTTGATCAGTCCATGTTTATTTGTTGTTTGTTATGTTTTTAAAGTAAAAGTATATTGAATAAATCAAATAAAATCAAAGTGATGGATGAGCAATATTAGTGAGGTAGGAGTACCAAATTTTAATCTTAAAAAGAGATCGATATTCCGATTTTGTTGCAATGTGACAGGCTCATCGCTCCCTCTGCGTGTCTCGAAACACGTCCCACTGGGATGTCGGATCGATTAAAACAAAAAGTAAAAGTTCTACTTCAGACAAATTTTACGCCCTATCAAACAAAAATCTCGAAGAAAACTAAGTGTTTGGCTTAAGTCGTTAAGTGTTTGATCGTTGGTTTCTATCGACATATTTTAAATTATCAAGGACAAATTACTTGTAATTCGAATTAATCATTGAGTGAATCCAACCAACTTCCTTTAGTTTGCTTGCGTTTTGATTTCATGGCGTCCAGAAAATTTTCATCCAAATTCCATATCCTGTTAACGTGGTGCTTACAGCAATGTTAGCGAGTATTAATTACAGCGACCCAGTCAGCAAATCAAGAAGGGTTTAGGCTAAAGCGTCCTCAACTCTATTCAAAGAAATAAAACAAAAAAAATAAAGTAAAAGTTTCGATATGGAACGTCCATTCATTTTGTATCATCGTAGTCGACGTCATCTTCGTCATCATCATCATCATCATCATCATCATCATCATCATCATCATCATCATCATCATCATCATCATCATCATCATCATCATCATCATTATCATCATTATCATCATTATCATCATTATCGTCATCATCATCGTCATCATCATCCCAATCGTAATGAACGACATTGAAAACCAAACGAATGTGTTCCATGTTATTTTCGCTACATTTAAAAAAAGTTTTAAACGTGTATAACAGGCTCAAATTTACATGCAATTTTTGTCTACGAGTTAAGGGACACTTACTCAAAACGTCTTATGGAGTACTTACATACAATACCTTTGTTACAAATACTTTATCATCATCACTGTATATTAGTCCTACAGTTTCAATTTTTCATTGTATTATGTAATTTTCACAATATATTTGAGAAAAACGTATTTACCAAACCAGGATTTGAGCTTCTATGTCGGACTAAAAGTATTAATTTACAGATCCAAATGAAGTTATTTTGATTGCAAATCCCTGATACGTTTATATAAAAATCACAATTATTGGTCACCCTACACCATAAATCTTCTCCCCATGAACCCCGTCAAGCATTTGATTCCGAAACCCTGACCACCAAGGCTCTAGGCGGCTCCATGGTATGGACCACTTCTCTACAAATACCTGGTATCACACTGTTACACACAGTATGAAAGTTTCCCTGCTACTTTTTTGACGATTGCCTATAAGTTAAGTAAGAGTGTGCGAGTTTCTCATCGGTCAATCTTCGGTGCTTCGAATTTTGCTTTTAAGCACAGTATACAAGTAGTTTAGCTTTTGTATAAGAGCGTGTATTGTAATTTGAATTGGTCAAGCCGTTAATACAGCATTCACCATTCATTCACCTTTTCACTCAAACGTAGGCCCACGCGCATAAGCAGATCATTTTACTGTGATGTCATTGCTGGTTGACCTGGTTACGTCGAGTGCTACGGATTTTTTGACGATAGGACAGGAAAAAAATAAAGATAATTAATCATCAGGGAGTCCATTGCGCTTTAGGTATTATAAGTCAAAAATAGGAAAACAATTAAAGTGTTTAGATGATGTCCGAAAAAACAAATCAAAATTATGAGTCACAATCCATGACAAGGGTCGTGACCACTTAAATAATAGACATGCAAGTGTTTTACTGCATTAACCTAGTTATAGTCCTTATAGTATGACTTACACACACACACACACACACCAATATTACAATATGTAGACAGTCGTTTTACTACGTTAATTCATATGCTGTTGTATCGTTAAGGTATCATCATCTGAGCGCTTATTTGTCTTTTGTAAACATAGCGTTTCACCCTCTATGATGATGATGATGATGATGATGATGATGATGATGATGACGATTCTACCCCTTTCTATCAGTGGCCAACTCCCTCACTTCTCTTGATCCAGCTTCTTCATATTATATCGCTTTAGGTTTTTTTTTTATTAATGGTCTGCATCCATGTGGTCTTTGGTCTGCCTCTGGATGTTTATACTTTTCGATGATATTCTGAGAATGCTTGTTTGGCAGGTGAATCATCGAATCATCTGGCAATCCTAACAAATGCCCTAACCATTTCATTCGTCTCTTCCTATTTTTTCAGACCACCAATAAAGCAATATACTTTTTTTTTAAATATTCAACTTCATTACAATTATATGGCAATATATCTTATTTATGGTGATAAATTAGATCAGTTCATTACAACAATATGAAGTTTCAGTTTGGTAAAAATATTTAACATCTCAACAAA